TCTGTTTTTCTGCCCACATCTTCCTGCTTGGTGGTATCATCATTTGGAAAATGATTTAAAATGCAAAATCAGAAGCACATTTACAACAGTTTAAGTGCCAACCACTAGTAATTACAGAAATCCCAATGAAAATTGCTGCAAGATGAAAATTGCTATTTAATGCGGTGCTACCACAAGTTAATAATTAGTCCTTCTCCGGTTACCTTACACAGACCAGGCGTATGCCCTTTAGGAAAGCAAGATTACCTAAACCTTGTTCTATATAATCAAACAGTTTTAAATTAAACACAATATCTGTGAGCAAATAGAGCCCATTAGACAACAGCACCCACTCAACTAAACTAGAAGCTTGCAACATTCAATTATGAATTGTAGTCCACATGAACACAATGTGTATGCAATGTTAACATGTTAGATTATGTCAGAGTTATGATTAGTTTAGTTGTCATTTTGTTTTGTGTCCGTTTCTTCAGCAGTAATAATGCCTTACTGCTGTTATGAAAAATAGAGAGTGAGACATTTGCCAAACCATCTGAGCACTGATGTGGCTTATAGTCATACAACAAGAATTCAAACAGACAGGCCTTTGAAAAAAAAAACATTTCTGACAGGGTTTCAGTCACTTAACAGTCAGTAAACATTTAACAATTATTGTTACAAGCCATTGTGGTTCTGTTCGTACAGATACTATACTATATAGTTTTGTTCATTTTTATTACAGTTTTAGTTATTTTAATACATCAAGTTAAACTGAATGAAAAATGTTGCCTTGACGACTACATAAAAAAGTATATATATAACATTAATTTATTAATTTATTTGTTAATTGTTATTTTATTTTATTACATTTATTTAATAATTTATTAATTTTCATTATTTTATTTCAACTGAAGTTTATTTTATTTTAAGGAAGATTGTTTCTTTAGTTTTAATTAACTAATAACTCTGGTCCATGTGATTTATTTTCTTCTATGGGACACAGAAGTTGACATTTTAACAAGATCTTGAGTTTATGTGAGATGAATGAATGAGTTGATCCAATTCACAAAATGATTCACTGAATGATTCATTTGCAAATTGGACTGAATGATTTGGTCGCAACGGTTGACAGTTAAATTTCATTGTGTATTTTATGCCTCCGTAGGACTTTAAAGCCTAGAAAAGAAAAATCAGTATCCTCCTTTTTGGTTCCACATAAAGACATTGAAAAGGTTTTATAAACTGTGACAAGCAGAATTATTTCATGGGTGTTGTTTTCTGCCTTCAAGGATGGAAATGGCTATATTGACGAGCAGGAGCTGGATGCTCTCCTGAAGGACCTCTATGAGAAGAACAATAAGGTGAGATAAGAAGGCTCAGCATTATTCTAGTATTGGACAATGGCAGATAAGGAAAGCAATCCCTCAAATTATGATTGTTTAACCTCAGGAGGTGGACTCTAAGAGCCTGAATGGTTATAAGCAAAGCATCATGGCACTGTCAGACGGGGGGAAACTGTACCGCACAGAGCTGGAGATTGTCCTTTGCCGGGAGCCCATGCAGTGAATCGAGGCTTCCTGACCTCCATCTCAGCTCTGTTCCAGCTGCCTGAATACTGTAACCGTGTGCATGTGCCGGGCACCCCGTTCCCCTCCCATCCCCCTCTCGAAATGAGTTCTGAATGAGTGTGCACAGAAAAGCACAAAGTCTCTCCTCTCCCCTTCTTTCCTTCCCCTTCCCACACCCCAGTCGCCACTGCTTTCCTTTGCCTACAAACTGCAGCTACTATGATGCCCTCTGCTCAATTTTTAAACTATATATTTAAAGAAGAATCTTTCTGAAAGAGTTGCAGACTAATGGTATAATATGGTTAGATATGTGATAAATTTATTTGGAGTGCTTGGCTTCAAATTCTTCTGGTTTCTTCCCTTCCGTTTGGTTTCCTCTTCGGTTTGTTTTTGACCTCATTTCATTTCATTCCTGCCCAATTATGTATGGGTTTGTGGTGTTTTTTTGGCTGATACTGTTTAAGGATGTAACTAAGAGCATTAATAAAAGTTATGTGATATACATTTCCTGTTTCATCTGTTTTGTTCATTCTAGCGAACAGTTTTTTGTTTGATCATTCGAATGCATTAAAAGAAATACAATAGCAGGAATATTCCTTTGATGGAACAGAACATCCTTCATTCTTTAAAAATGCCCTCTGTCGCATGTAACGTCTTACCCAAGCAGTCAGTTCCTCTGTGACATGCTGGATGGAGACATCACATTTCAAGTAAAAATATTTCCTAATTGTGTCCAGATGCATTTAAACCACATTAAATAATTTATCTGCTAGACTTTCCTCTTACATCGCAAGAGTTTGTAGAAATTCCTATCAATTAATCATCAGAACAAGAATAATTAATCCAAATGCAGTTTTGGTTTTATAAATGGGGATTCTCTACACTGCTCTGATGTACACTGATGATTGTGAACAAAACATTTCACATTTATCTAATCTGACTAATTCTAATCAATTGAACATTCTATATAATATGTTAGTTCTAATAATTTTTTTTTTTGATACTTATAATTAATTGAACGCTATAATTTTTTTTTCACATTTCTGCATACTTTGCATGCAAAAAAAAAAAAAAACGATTTTTAGCATGCACTCAATACAGTGTGAATCTAGTTAAAAGCAAATTAACTATTAAAGGAAAATAATATGCTAAAAAGATTCCTCAGCTCTAAACATTTTGTTTTTAATAAAAAGCTTTGCCCTTCCCTTTGTAGCTATTGAATACAATTACCAGAAAGCATTCAGTCTTGTATAATGTCTATATTGTAATTGCCAGAGCAATTAATTAATAAATGAAGAGAATTCTGTTCTTTTATTGATGATGTTTAAATATAGCTACTATGAATTTAATGAGGAACTGAGAGCGGATGGCTCAGTTCTCCTCCATAGCATTTCTACACGACACAAAATGGGAACGAGGCTATATGTTCTTCGAAAAGAAAACATTGTATCCAAATGGTAATGGATGCAAATTGAAAATCTTTAATTATAATTTGGATGCCTTTGAGATGCCTTTCAATTACCTTAAGCATCTAAATACTTTTTAAGACTTGATGAAGCTTATCCGGGTATAAGAAACATCTAATGGTGCATCAACAGTTCAAAACAGCATTGGATTAAATTAATATTTGCACTAATTCATAAAATTTTGGTTGCTAGCTACTGCAATTTCCCCCTATCATTTCTGTGTAAATGAATGGATCGCTTTTAACTGAAATGTATATTTTTAGCAGACGCTTGTAAATAAAACCAGTATTACTGGAGCATGTTTTACAGGATAATACTATTTCAGTCTTTTTAATGTTTCTATTTCAAATTTCATGCTTACTATTTCAAATTTCATGTTTAATTCAATGATTTTTGCTGCTTCTTTGTCTTTATTTGTGAAACCTACTAGCAATTTTTGAGTTAAAACTGTTTCACCACCAATTTTGTTTCAGCGTACCAAAGTAATTTTCATTAAAGCAAACAAATCACATTAACAGCACCAAAACAAGTGAGAATACACCATACACAGGCTTAGAATCCACTTTTCAAGCTATGCCTGAAAGCTCAAGATGAAGCTTACAGCAACTACAAACACTAAACTTTATAAGACAAAGATTTAACAGCCTCAGCTTATTATCCCTGGATCTCCTGCAAGCAAGCGAGGATGTTACCACTGAACCACCAATGCTCTCTGCCACAGTGTACGCTAATATAATTATAAAGGCCTTTAATGTCCTTCATAAGTCTCACAGAAAATTAAAAGCATAAAAGGGAAAAGGAGGGTGGTAGCTAAGAAGACTTGAGTGAGTGGATGTTAAATGGTCACTTCTGTTAAACACATAAGAGTTGAGGCACACAGATTCATTCTTTACTTGCACATAAAAAAAAACATGCCAAGCATTTTTGGCAGTAATTGTAAAGTTTATAATATGTCACTATTATAATATGTAATAATATGTCAGTATTTACTGCATATGAAATTAAACTGCAGGGTGCAACAACCGTAGGCAGAGGATCTGCTATATTAAAGCTGCAGTATAAAGACATCATCCTTTATATCCCAAGACAAGCTTGTAAGAGGTGAGCCTTATATTTACACTTCTTTAAATAGTAAGGGTTCAAGAATGCAAAAATTGCTGCGATGTGTGGCGCAACATTGACTCCAAGTGGCCACTTTTTAGAATTGCACTAGATTGTCGATGTTGCACATTGCTTCACTCTTGCAAGTGCTGGATCTCAGATCACTAGTAAGTTCACTGTTTTAAGAGCAACAAAGAATGAGCTTGTGAAGAATAAAAAAATGTTTGGACCAAGGAAATGCTATGCACATTTGGGTAAAGGAAAGCTGTAGTGATACACAAGCAATAATTAGGCCTTTTAAGACAAAATATGTCCATTTTATTTATGACATTTAATATCTTAATACTTTTTAAATAGCAAGATACTTTTACACAACATTTAGGCCAGGTAAATACTTCAAATCACATATAACCACTTAAAATAACCACAACAAATGTACAATTACCTTTTCATAATGCCTCAACAACAAATTCAAATGGTCAGGACTACTCTTTTCTATGTTTTACCTTGCTAGTTTGCTGGTCTCCGCTGGTTTAAGCCAGTCAAGCTGGTCTCCCAGCCTGGCCAAGCTGGTGTTTTGTTGGTTTTAGCTGGTTGGTCAGCTGGTCTCCCAGCCTGACCAGCTAAAGAAGTCAAAACCCCTGTAAAACCAGCCTGCTAAATCAGATATGACCAGGCAGGAAGACTTGGCTAAAATCAGCCATCCAGCTTTTTTCCAGCAGGGATATATAGACAACACACTTTAATTTAGTATTAATCTCATCAGACCAGTTGCTCCTAGTTGCTGTCTAGTCCTCTAACGGTTAACCCACGTCTCAGTCTCATTTACTCCTATCCCCGTCTCATTTACTGTACTACCTCTTGTCTCCAGCCGCTATGCAATGCAATGTCCTTGGAGGCGCTATAAACAACACAAGCAGCAGACAAGTTGAAGTCGCCAGCCAGTGTGCGTTTGTCTTCCACCAAGTCATCTGCGCTTCCAGCAATGGCCCTGCTGAAATCCACCAAGATTTTGACTAGTGTAGGGGCTCAGGCCCCTGTTTTAGCAGTCCTACAGCTCCGTGCAAGGTAACTTGAGGCTTTATTTTTCTTGTGTAAACACTCCGTTGCCAAGTTAGCTTGTGCTAGCGAGTTAGCTTGTGCTAGCGAGTTAGCTTGTGCTAGCGAGTTAGCTTGTGCTAGCGAGTTAGCGGGTGCTAGCGAGTTAGCGGACTGAGCGCTAGAGCAGCACAGAGCCGCTGAAAGTTACAGTATGACACTACTGTAACACATGAGATATTAACCTTGTGCTTATAATTCAACATAGTTATTGTATTAATGCCTTCGAATATTTAACGAGTGTTCTTATATTTCAACAAGACATTTTAATAGCATATGACGACGGCCGTCAATGTCAGTTATCATATATCAGGGCTTTGATAATCGAGCAGAGTTCAGGAGATCAGCAGACTGGCGAGATATTTTTCACGTTACATGTTCATAATGACATTAGTGATGTATCAGGTTCAAGTAGGCCTAACTGGCTAGTGGCTACCATCTGATTCAAGGTTGTTCATAGATTGTTTTTTTTATGTTAGTTTGGTGGCATTATTGCATGATAGTTTGTAAGTTTGAGTTAAACAAAGCAGCCTCCTTTGAGAGTTTTTTTCTTCTTTTACTGTTATTTCTGTTTTTGAAAGTATTACGTTACATCAGTAATCTTCACTGTTGCTGCTGGTTGCCAAGCAAGAGCACTTTTTTTAAGTCATCAATTTAATTTATTTTGTCTGCTAATTAATTTTTATCTACTTGTACAGTAATTTTTAATTTTCTCTTAACCTTTTGTAAGCTAGCAGTGCATTTAAATTTAAAGAACATATTAATGAATAAATGTATCCATTTATTTTATATACTTATTTTATTTACAGTTTTTTTTTATTGGTTTGGTACTATTTTCATAAGTAAGGTGTACATTTTCAAAACTGTTAGTACAAAATCTTAAACTCATCACACTTGTAACACCACTAGTCATTCTTTTTAAACCCTGATCTCATGATTTCATTGTAGTTTGCGCATATTTTCATTGCACATAATCATTGTTTCAGAACCCAAGATCATTGTGATATGCATTGAGAACATTTGGTTTAATCACCAAAACACAACAGTAAGATCTTCTTTCAATTTAGTACTTTTAACAATCAGTTCATCCAAGAGCAAACAATGCAAGATTCATGTTTCAAATCACGTTTGTTGCTGAAATAATTACAGTAATACAGGCAATAACTGTCAATCACCTTGTATCAATCAGCAACTAGAACTACAATAAAAACTATACTTCTACACTTAGGTAATGTAAGTGTAGAAAATACACTTACATTACCTAACTCGCATAAAATCCTTAATGTTTGTAAACGTTTTTATCCAGTGTGTTATCAAAAGGTGTGATGAAGTTATGACATGGCCATAAGGTTTTGTGCTAGAACAGAGTTTACTGTCAATGCAGTAAATGTCCTTACTGTGCCATATGACTGAATCTATACTCTAGCTGAACTTTTCAGATAAAGGGCGAGTTATAGTAATGTGCAGTCTTTACCATGGTAATGCTTCTACATACAGTATCACATGGCATAATGTAATGTAAAATGCTGTATTTGATGCCATCTGTCTCCCTTCTTCTGATACATCTCTGATCAGTTCATCTCCCTTGTGTCCTGCTGTAGTATGTTCCAAAATAGCAAAACACACGTTTTTACAAATGAAGACGTCCTCAAAGGGAGGTTTTAGGCAATTTTGTCAAGTTTTGCTTACTTCTGGGTACCAATTTGTCCCCAAAATATGGTTACAGTAAGTAGGAAAGGCAGTTACTGTGAATGAAACATTTATATAGATGAAACACTTAGGCCTATTTTGTGTAGTGAAAAGGATACTTTGTGATTGTGTGTATTGTACTAAAACAACTGAAAATATGCTGAAATGTTTGAAAAAAGTGCACTTTTAATAACTTGTGAGATTAGTACTAAGAGTTTTGAAAATGTATCACTTCCTTGTGAAAATAGTACCAGACCAATTTAAAAAACTGTACCTGTTTTTATATCTGCTTATTTTTTATCTACATTTTATTTATTTATTTTGTCCCCTTTGAGTGTACTTAATTGTGACTTAATATTACAAAAAGCATGCTCTGGTAACGCCTCATTACACCTACTTCTTCAAAACTGGCCAATCACTACAGCCCGTTCTCAGTCAGAAGCATGCCTGTATAAAACCCCATATGCTCCTTAAACATTACATTATTGTTATTAATTAATGCCTGTTGTTGAGGATAAAAATGTAGCAGTGTGTCTCAAACGCAAAAAAGTGAGAGGAGCAACTGTGCACGTAGTATAGTTTTTATTGTAGTTCTAGTTGCTGATTGATACACAAGGTGACATTTAGAGCCGGGTTGAAATGATTGGTTCTGATGCAGAGGGTGGGGTGCTGTACACCTCTTTTCATTGGAGTATTTGCAGTACTTTATGTGGGTGGGGTTTACATTGGAATTATACTCCCATTTTACGCTGGTAATTACAGAGTTGACCTACTGTTTGCCTGTGCAAGCTAACAGATTCTTTATTAAGAAGGACGTGGCCATTCTGAAACTGTGTGCCAAGCATCCGTCAGAACAAACACAGACATGCGACGTGCTTAACAGTAAAGGGATTTTTAAACTCCAGGTTTGAGTTCAGACATGACTGTAAGTCTCATTAATGGTGGTAGAGGAGTTTAGCAGTGTAGTTCAAGCTTTTAAAGGACCAGTTTAAAGGACAGAAGCTCTGTAATGATAATCGCCTTATGATAAACTTATCCAGCTTGGAGAAATTTTAATGAGATGTCCAAAGAATGGCTAAATATTTATCCTAATGTATACGCAAATTGGTTTTAGAGTCAGACCGTGTAAAGACAAGGTGGTCTATTTTTAAATATTAGAGATGTTTGAGCTTAAGTCTTCGGCACTGCTCCACATTCTTTGGAGTTCAAAGCTATAAGAGTGTTTGACCTCAGTTACTTCCAAAAGCTTAGGCAAGACTGAAAGTAAAATGTAACTTTTAAATATCAATTAGACTTTTATATATCATAAAATATGCTTTAACTATAAAATAAATATCAATTTCGTATGACAATATGCAGTAATAACTATTTGGCTGGAGCAGCATACTTGCAGTCAATACTTAACTAAAGAGTATTCTTTTTTTTCTCTCAGCTCATGGTGGACTGAGGTACAGATGGGACCCCCTGATCCCATCCTGGGTGTCACAGAGGCTTTCAAGCGTGACACCAACCCCAAGAAGATGAACCTTGGAGTAGGAGCTTATAGAGACGATCAGGGCAAGCCGTTTGTTCTGAGCTGTGTCCGAAAGGTGCCATCTTACATATCTTACACACCTTCAAGGGATAGTTCACCCCAAAATGAAAATTCTGTTATATCTCCTCACCCACAAGTTGTTCCAAACCTGAATTAATTTCTTTTAGTTGTTGAACACACGAGAATATTTTGAAGGTTGTTGGTAACCAAAAAGTTCATAACAAAATACAATGGAGATCAATTGCAAGTAGAGGGTGAGCAAATTATGTTAGAATTTGTATTTCTGGGTGAACTATCCCTTTTATTATAATGTAACAATTGCCGTACTTTATGCTATCGTCTTGTTAAGTTTCACCCTGGTTATACTATTTTACCTTCTTAGACTTTTTGTGTTTTATAGCTGGCCTACATTTAAATCAGCAATTGTCCATAATGCTATCCATTTCCAATCAGCCAACTAAAGCTTTAATATTCTAATCCCTGCCCAAAACAAATGACAGATTTTGGTATTGTCAGGCTGAGGCCCAGATTGCTGCTAAGAAGTTGGATAAAGAGTACCTTCCTATTGGAGGGTTGGCAGAATTTTCAAAGGCCTGCGCTCAGCTGGCTCTTGGACCTGATAATGAGGTCTTAAAGAGCGGAAGAGTAAGTAGTTTAAAGCAAAACATTTTGAAATTAAGTCTTTTGATTATTAAATTATTAGATGTGATTGTTAATTGCCAGTTTTCTTTGCCCACAGAACATCACCGTCCAGACTATCTCAGGAACTGGATCTCTACGTGTTGGTGCTAACTTTGTGGTATGTTATTTTCATATCTTTTTTTTTTTTTTGAGTTTGTGGTGCTGTGTTAGGCCTGATTGCTCTGGTTCAAGACTATAATAATACTTTTATAGAACCAAGGCTACTGAAGAAGTGGGTGATCACTGTTGACTCTGTTGTTATGTCTGGTGATTATTGATTAAAAAGGGGGTTAAAACGTATGAAATGTAGCTCACCACAAGTAGTCACAGCTCTGTCTCTCTCACTTTTTCTTGGCTAGTCACGATTCCACAATGCGTCCCAGGACGTGTACCTGCCTAAACCCTCCTGGGGAAACCACACCCCTATCTTCAGAGATGCAGGCATGCAGCTAAAGGCCTACTCCTACTATGACCCCAAAACCTGTGGCTTTGACTTTAAAGGAGCCTTGGATGATATTTCAGTAAGAGAAACGTTTTTATATCTTGTACTTTATTGTGGATAAACATTGTGCATTTGTTGCATTTTAGCTCTCTGATTTTCTTCTGATCCCCCTTTTCTTTGCATAGTCAAGTATTAATAAAGTGTGGGGGAAAATCCTATAAATTAAATAAGATTTATTTATTTAAATATATTCTCTTTCAGAAAATCCCTGAGAAGAGTGTGATTGTTCTGCACGCGTGCGCTCATAATCCCACAGGAGTGGACCCAAGGCCCGAGCAGTGGAAAGAGATGGCCGCTCTGATCAAGGTAACTGGTTCTGGCATTAAATTAAAGTCCAAAATCCAGCTGACCATAGGTCTCAGAAAACCCACACAGTAAAGTGACAGAGAGATATAGTTGGAAAGCTTATATATTATCTTGTCCTTGCCTTATCTTTATGTTTGACCAGTTGGACCGATAAAAGAATGACTGTCCTCAGTCTCAAATGAATGGCTATGTTAGTGATAAGTTTCTTCGCTCTGATTTCAACAGAAAAGAAATCTCCTGGTGTTCTTTGACATGGCTTACCAGGGATTTGCCAGTGGTGACATTGATCGGGATGCTTGGGCTGTGCGTTATTTCATTGAGCAGGGGCACAACATTCTTCTGTCCCAGTCTTTTGCTAAAAACATGGGCCTGTATGGTGAGCATCGAATATATTATTAAAACAAATCCTCAATTTGCACTTATATACAAATTAAACATGTGTATATACAAGATATATTTACTTAAAGCAACACTAATATATTGTAATTTTAAGAGTTTTCATTGAGTGTGTCTTTAATATTTGAATACTCAAAGTTTGGGGTCGGTAAAAATATTTTTAAAAGACGCATGTAAAGATGCATTTATTTGATCAAAAAAAATCCAGTAAAAGCAGTAATATTGTAAATATTACAATTTAAGATAACTGGCAAATAAATTTAGTAGTGCTGTCAAATGATTAATCGTGATTAATCGCATACAAAATAAAAGTTTTTGTTTACATAATATATGTACGTGTACTGTTTATTTATTATGTATATATAAATACACACACATGCATGTATATATATATATAATATAAATTATATGAATATAAATATAGACATGTAAATACATGTAAATATTTTCAAAATATATACTGTATGTGTGTGTATTCATATGAAGAATTCATTTGCAAAAACCGATAACTCCTTTTTTTTTTTTTTTTTTTTTTTTCAGAAAT